CCTTGCTTCCCTTGTCTCCTCCCCTTCCCCGGTCGTCGTCCGCTCCGCCAACGCGCCCAGCAGTTCGTTGGCCCTCTTTGTTTGCGGCCGGGCCGAGGCGGACGACGCGAAGCGTTTAAAATTAGAATAGGGTTTTGGGTTACACTATACTATAATTATAAGAAGGAACCCCACACAATAGTATTGGTAATTATTTAGATCCCTTTTTTAATACTTAAAGTAGAACCCTTGGAGATGGCAGCTGGGCGGCCTGGAAGGCAATCTGCTCAGTGAGAACCGGATTATTTGTGGCGAGAACCTGGGCCGTTGTGGAGAGCAGGTTGCGCGAGAAATCCCAGTCTGATACGAGGGCCTTACATAATGATTGTTGGCAGAAACTCGGACTCTGCCCCTGGTTTGACCAAGCTTTTGCGTGGGTTTGGGGAGACCTTGGTAAAACCAAGGTTTTCTGCACGCAGCCAACGACAACCTGGGCAAAACCAGCCGACGAGTTGTCAAGCTCTGTTATAACCTGTGCAAACAGCTTTGATTGACCTCAAACCCGGTCTCTTGTGAAGGAACACGTAATCCGTTCGGCAGCAGCGGCAGCAGCAGCCGCAGCAACTGCAGTGGCAAAATCATGAGATGCTTTGCAAAACCGGAGGTGATGCTGACAATCACGACAAGGAATAACATGAGAGAGACCGAGATCATCAGCACGGCGGTATGCACATTTCTCAGTGCCACCCCGCAAACTCGCTGCCATCACAAGAGGAGAGCTCTGGGCACCGCGCTACCTGAGGGTTTCGCAGGAGGCGCTGGAATAGCGCCCAGAACCTCCGAAGCTACGAAAGTTGTGGAAGTTGGGATTTCGGGCCGCTGGACAAGCACAAGTCTTGGATGCCCCTCCAGCAGGGTTCAAGGAGCTTGTAAGCTTGGATCGGGAAGTGTAACACTGCTTGGAGGGTCAGGGGACTTAGTAACTAGTTACTTTAGAGACTTATAAGTACCATAACCCAATTAGGATTCCTTTTAGAGTACTTATAACTCTACTTATTACCTACTTACTAAGTCCCCCGACCCGCCAAGTGGTACCCAGCCAGATCTCGAACTGGGCTGCAAAGCTCAATGCTTGCGGCATGATAGACAGCAGACTGCAACGGACTTAATACCGTCGTGCATCGTAGCCCGCACGGCAACTGCAACTCAAAACGATGCGAAGCCCAGGAGTTTACGTTTTGTACTGTGGGTTGTAATCAATAGGCTACGGGGCGTTGGGGGCTGAAGGGCTTTGACCGTTTAGGGTTTCAGAGTTGTCTAGACTCTGTCCCTTCAGAGTAGGGGCGAAGCCAGGGCCAATCCTCTGAACCGTGAACCCTAAGCTCGAAATCTGACAAAATGAGCCTCACAACCACAACTCCAAACCCAGAAACCTTTACGAAACCCTTGCAGAACCTTCAAAAAACACATGAAACCCTTGTAAGTAACTCTAGCATTCATACTTCCTAAACCCTAAACCCTAAACCCTCAACCCTCAACCCTAAACCCTAAACCCTCAACCCTAAACCCTTAAACCTCAGCAAGGGACTCCGCACGGGCTGTGGCATTGTCGAAGTGGTCCGTGGGCCGCTTCCAGAGCAGCGGCAATCCTCAGTTGTCTTGATTTACGGGTTTAGGGCTTGGGGGCTTAGGGTTTTAAGGTTTGGGCTTGGGGCTTTAGGGTTTCAGCATTTAGGGCTGAAGGTTTGAGGGTGCTAGGATTGAGGCTTACTGGTACCGGGTATGAGGAGTAGGCATTGTGGATCGCATGTGGCCATACACACATGCCTGCGTGTTGACCTCCCATCCGTCGAGCTATCCGTATGCTCACATGTTTGTGTTAGGTTTGTTAATGTATTTACTTGCTTCGTCCTTTTGTGCAGGTGTTGCTTCCTTCATTTTCATGTTTGTACCTGTGAAAGATTTATGCGTATGCGTATACATGTCACATCTCACATTACAGGCTTACAGATACATTATAAACCGTGACATGCACTCTGAATCCAACACCGCGGCAGGGCTGCTCGATGTGCTACCGACGCACAGGAGCTGAGCTCAAAGGTTAAGAACCCTAGACCCTAAACCCTAGACCCTAAACCCTAGACCCTGAACCCCTAAACCCTAAACCCCTAAACCCCTAAACCCCCAAACCCCTAAACCCCTAAACCCTAGACCCCTAAACCTCAGACCCCTAAACCCTAAACCCTAGACCCTTCTTTTTCTTCGAGATGTCGACTGGCACTGGAGGGTCGGATCTCTTCTGTCGGCTGTATGCGAAAGCTGGTGTCAACTTGTGTCTGGATCCTTCGTGTCGACATGAGGGCCTTAGTGATTGGGGTTTGGGGTTTAGGGTTTAGGGTTTAGGGTGTAGGGATTAGGGTTTAAGAATAGGGTTTTGGGGTATATCATAGTAGAAGTATACAGGGAGGAACAAAGGGTAGTAGTACTACTAGTTCTTCCGACCCCTATATTATCTGTTTGGGTGGCAGCTTCCTGTCATACAAAAATACAAGTCGTGAACAGCATGGGCCAAGCTCACTCGAGCAGCCCAAGGCAACGCCGACTTCGGAGAAACAGGTGGAGGCTTGCCGAGGAACGCTCCTGGGAGGCTTGTTTTAAGATCTCAAGTTTTGCGTTTGGGACAGGGAGCTCCTTTAAAGGGCTTCTTTAAGGGGTTTGGGGCTTTAGGATTTTAGGTTTTAGGGCTTTAGCCCTAAACCCTAA